GCACTGGGCAGGTAGAGAGTTATAACATTCATTTCCAAGAATTAAGCCAATATTCAAATGATCATATAACTTTCTACATAGTGTGCTTATGATTTAATTTTATAATATCTAACCATTCTGTACTCATTTTATTGACTGAGATTTAATATTCCAAATCACTTTGGTAAATTAATGTGTCCCACAGCTATGCACTTTTAAATCAAACTGAAATTCAAAATTGTAAACTTTATATTCCTTTCCCTCCCAATAAGCTGCCAGAAGTAACAGAACAGCATTGTTGTGTGGTTAAAAATAGCAATAGCACTTAGACTTACATACCACACCATAGTGCTTTACACCAACCTCGGAGCAGTTTACAATGTCAGCATATTGACCCAAACAATCTGGGCCCTCCTTTTATCGATCTTGGAAGGATGGAAGGCTGAGTTAACTTTGAGCCCTGTCAGGATTGAACTCCTGATTGTGGGCAGTTAGCTTGCAATACTGCATTCTAACCACTATGCTATCAGGACTCCTATGTTCTCAGAATGTGACAAACACAACCTCACTTGTCTACAATGATTTGGGAATAGTTAAAGAATCATTATTTAGTCAAGAATCATTATTTTAAAAGACAAAATTAAAATCCAGGGTCACAACAAAAGCATACATACCTGTTGTAGTAACTTTTTTATTCCATTTTTATCATCATCAGTTATTGTGTGCGCTTCAAATTCAATGTTTACTTCCTATGAAAAAAGAGAAATAATGCACATTAGTATCCATACAGCTTTATCAATTTTTACAATCTAGCCAAATAAAGATTTGCCAGAAATATATGGTTCCTCATATGCACCTGCTAATTTGTGCCTATGATATTAATTCCAAAATTCTTTGTCTCAATTGAAGATAAAACCAGTGTAAATCTCTTTTGCCTCTTACTTTAAACGCAACCACCATAAGTGCAATTGCAATGCCCAATCCCACACAAGCTGCTCCATGCTTCTGACAATCTACCCTACTGGCTGATGGGAGGTGTAGTCTAAAACATTTATAAGGAATCAAAATGGAGAAAGGCTCTTCCAGGTTTTGGTGGCAAGGAAATGCACTTTGTCTATGTTCCCAGGCCTCCTATTTTGGTTGCTATCATTCATATGGGTTGGAGAATGAAACCCAGAAGAACAGGAAACGTCGGAGAGTGGAAACAGGAATTAAGAAATCAATCAAGTCAGGGGGCTTCCTGTGGCGAGGCGCCGCCAAAGGAGGCTTTTTCCTTAGCCTCCAGCCCGGGACTGCGTCAAAGCCGTCAAAACAGCGTGGATCAGCTGTTTTGCGGCTCGGAACTTTCTCCCCGGGCGAAGGGGAGAAAGTGAGTTTGGTTGGGATAGGGGTTGAGTTCCCTAGTCCCCCAGGAGCGATCCTGGGGGGATGTAGGTGAGAATTCCCCCGTAGTCCTGACCTCTTCTCCGCAGCTCGGTGTGTCTTCGTTCCTCGGAGCGAAGCCAGACGTCGCCGCCACTGCTGTTACATTGTAGCTGCTTGTGAGTAACTTTTGAAACAGACGGAATCTGACAGGGGATCTTTATTTTAGTTAAAAAGTGACTTTAACTTGAAGACTTTATTGGGATTTTTTTACTTGCTATAAGTGAAAGTGACAAGAAAATGGCCGCGGAAGCATTCCTTTCTTTTTAACAAAAGGAAAACTTTCACTTTCTTTCCGGTTGTGGACTTCAAAGGATTTTAATTTTTTTTAAATTTAAAGTCAAGCTTTTTAAGTTTATACTTGCTGTGATTTACAAAAAAAATAATTTGGCAGAATGGCTTCAAAACGTACTGTTCCTGCGTTGTCTAAAACAGCTATTTCTTCTCCTGTGGTGCAAACTCAACAACAAAAACCTAGATCTCCCCCACCAACACCCCCTCCCTCCATTACACTAAAAGATTTACAAGAGGCTTTAGCCAAGTCCTCATTGCAGACTTTGAAACAAACAGAAGAACTTTTGGATAAGAAAAATCAAGAACTTTGTGAAAATTTATCACATATTTTCCAAGGACTTGCAACTCACATTGATCGGGTAGAGGGACGAGTGGATGAATTAGTGGAGAAAATGGAGGGAACGGAGGACAGACTTGAAAAAGTAAAGGAGTGGAAACTTTTCAAAATGATATGTTACTGATGCAATACAAACAATTGGAATTTGCTCTGAGAATCAGGGGTCTTACAGAGGATCCACAAGAGAAACTTAAAGAGGAAGTTGTGACAGCTTTGGCCCTGGCATTGAATTGCGATCCAGAGGTGATTTATGGAGAAATAGAAATTTTTTTTAGAGTGAACTCCTGGGTTGCACGTCAAAGAAATCTACCTAGAGATGTGGTTGTTTATTTTACTACAAGAATACGTTGTAATGAAATTATACAGCTTTTTTATCAGCAGAGGTTTCAAATTGCCGCACAAGATATTATACTTTTAAAAGAAATACCTTCTAAGATTTTAAGAGGAAGAAAGGATTTTACATTCTTGACTCAGGAGTTAAAGAAGCAGCAGATACCTTTCAGATGGGAAATTCCTTTGGGTATTATATTAAATTTTGCAGGGACCAGACATAGATTAAACTATGTTCAAAAAGCCAAAGATTTTTATATGTCGGTCCTGAAAGCTGATATGTCATCATCATCGACATCTAAAGCACAGGAAGATCCGATGGAGCAACCTGTTGTGGAATTGCCTGGGGCCATGTCGTCATTATCAGTAGAAGATTCTCAGAAGGAGCAAAGGATGACCCGTGCTGCTTATAGGCGTAAAGAGAGACAGCAACAAAAATAAACAGTTTCTATAACATATCCACAGCCTTTCGAGCCAATGGGAGGGGCGAGGCCAAAGAGAGCAGCTGCCACAGACATGCAAGGAATGCTTAGCAAGCTTTGTAAGCCAAAAGATGGATAAATGCTGGAAATGAGACTTTATTATGGAAATGGAACAAATTAGTTTATTATATGTTTGTAAAGAGCTGTTTGTTCTTTTTCCTTTTTTTTCTGAAAGAGGTAAAAAATTAAGACTGGGATTTTTATTTTTATTTTCCAGCTGTGAAGCAGGAGGTATTGACTTAAGATTTTATTGAAAGTATAAATTGGAGAGGGAAGAAAGTGAAGGGAAAATTTAAGTGTAAAATGCAAGGAAAAAATATGTAAAGTTTAAATGTTGAAGGTGGATAGATTATATTAGATGTATGGAGTGATTAAATGTTATATAGCTTTTGAGTAGATATATTGGTTTTTAATTAATTTTAATTAATTTAATTGCTTTATTAGAGTTAAAGTAGGTATATATTGATAGTATTATATTTGTTTAGTTAAATTGTAATCT